AGATATGGCGTCACATCGTGGCCGAGGGGGTGGTCGTGATGCGAGGTCGTCAGCACTATGAGGCTGATCCAAAAGTCCAAGCAACGGTCGCCATCCGATGAAGGAATGACTGAGACCGGTCTTGGGGATAGATAATCACGCGAGGCCGAGGGGCCGCTCGTGATGTGTGGACGACGATGTTGAGCCGATCCGATAATATGATGACGAGGTAAGAATGAAGCTGATCCTTATATAAGGGCAATGGTCACCATCCAGGAAAGGATTGCGAGCCTGATCGCTAGCTCAAGACTCTCAGTGCTGAGGAAGCCGATCTTGAGATAAATAATCACGGCGAGGCCGAGGGTCCGGCGTGATATGAGGACGACAGCAATGAGGGGCCGGTCCGATATATGATGTCGAGGCGATGATGTGCCGACCGTCATATGGGGGCGATGGTCACCATCCAGGAAGGGATGGCGAGCCCGATCGCTAGCTCAAGATCGCGTTGAGACCGAGGGGTCTGCCGCGATGTGAGGATGATGGCGATGATGAGCCGTTCCAATAAATGATGACGAGGCCATGATGGGCCAATCGTCATATAAAGGCAACGGTCACCATCCAGGAAGGGATGGTGAGCCCGATCGCTAGCTCAAGACTCTTGGCACTGAGGAAGCCAGTCTTGAGATAGATAATCACGCCGAGGCCGAGGGGCCGGGCGTGATGTGAGGACGACGGCGATGAGGAGCCGGTCCTATAATATGATGACGGGGCGATGATGAGCCAACCGTCATATAGAGGCGATGGTCACCATCCAGGAAGGGACGGCGAGCCCGATCGCTAGTTGAAGACTCTCGGCGCAGGGAAGCCGGTCTTGAGATAGATAATCACGCCGAGGCCGAGGGGCCGGTCGTGATGTGCGGATGGCGATGAGAAGGGGCCAATCTGAAATATGATGACGGGGCGATGATGAGCCGGCCGTCATATAGAGGCGATGGTCACCATCCAGGAAGGGATGGTGAGCCCGATCGCTAGCTCAAGACTCTCGGCGCTGAGGAGGCCGGTCTTGAGATAAATAATCACGCCGAGGCCGGGTGGCCGGTCGTGATATGAGGATGAAGGCACTGAGGGGCCGGTCCAAAAATCCATGCAACGGTCGCCATCTGGTAAAGGAATGACTAAGACCGGTCTCGAGATAAATAATCACGTCGAGGCCGAGGGGCCGGTCGTGATATGAGGATGAAGGCAATGAGGGACCGGTCCGAAGATCCATGCAACGGTCGCCATCCGGTAAAGGAATGACTAAGACCGGTCTTGAGGTAAATAATCACGTCGAGTCCGAGGGGCCGGTCGTGATATGAGGACGAAGGCACTGAGGGGCCGGTCCGAAGATCCATGCAACGGTCGCCATCCGGTAAAGGAATGACTAAGACCGGTCTTGAGATAGAGCATCACGCCATAGCCGAGGGGCCGGTCGTGATGTGAGGATGACGGTGATGAGGAGTCAGTCCTATAATATGATGACGGGGCGATGATGAGCCGATCGTCGTATAAAGGCGACGGTCACCATCCAAGAGGGGATGGTGAGCCCGATCGCTGGCTCAAGAATCTCGGCGCTGAGGAAGCCGGTCTTGAGATAGATCATCATGCTGAGGCCGAGGGGTCGGGCGTGATGTGAGGACGACAATGATGAGGAGCCGGTCCTATACTATGATGACGGGGCGATGATTAACCGACCGTCATAGTGGCAATGGTCACCATCCAGGAAGGGGTGGCGAGCCCAATCGCTAGCTCAAGACTCTCGGCGTTGAGGAAGTCGGTCTTGAGATAGATAGTCACGCCGAGGCCGAGGGGCCGGTCGTGATGCGCGGATGGCGATGAAAGGAGCCAATCCGAAATATGATGACGGGGCAATGATGAGTCGGTCGTCATACAGGGGCGATGGTCACCATCCAGGAAGGGATGACGAGCCCAATGGCTAGCTCAAGATCGTGTTGAGACCGAGGGGTCTGCCGCGATGTGAGGATGACGACGATGATGAGCCGTTCGAATAAATGATGACGAGGCCATGATGGGCCAATTGTCATATAAAGGCAACGGTCACCATCCAGGAAGGGATGGTGAGCCCGATCGCTAGCTCAGAACTCTCGGTGCTGAGGAAGCCGGTCTTGAGATAGATAATCACGTCAAGGCCGAGGGGCCAGTCGTGATGCAATGACGTCGGCACAGAGGGGGCCGCTGTCCGGGCCCAATAATCGTGAGACACGGGGGTCCGAGTCTATATACTCTATCAACTACGTTGGTCAGCCATTACGGATATTGTACTTCCCGAATGTGCCTTATACCTAGAAGCATGCTCACTTCCCCTTTCACGAACTCCTTGTCCAGGGATAGGTATCTTCGTTTGTGCTTCACAGGAGTTTCCTTGGGATCCACGTTCAGTCGATGCACAACTATGCTTTGATCGAGCCCGGGCATGTTCTCAGGCCCTCAGGCAAAGATCACCTTGAAATCTCTGAGGACCTGAACTGTCTTTGCTCTTAGGTCGGTCGGCAACCCTGCCTCGGTCTTAATCCGACGTTCTAGCCGGTGTGGGATCGACACCGACCTCCTAGAGCTCTAATATGGGTTGAGCTTTTAACTGTCCTTCCTCGTACTTCGAGAGGTCCTGCTCCATGGCATTGACTCTAACATCATTCCTCCCATGATCTTTGCAAGCCATTACGTAACAGCCTCTTGCCATCTTCTAGTCTCCTCTAATTGTGCCTATTCCGGCCGGCGTGCAAAATTTCATGCAGAGATGAGCTCAGGAGATGATTGCTCCCATGTCCTCCAATAGAGATCGGCCCAGTATGGCTTTGTGAACGCTTGGCAAATGTACTACCACGAAATCTGCTTCCACTGTCTGCAGGCATGGCTTCGATCTATGATGAACCGTGAGGGTGATTACTCCCTCCGACTCGATCACGTCCCCGGTGAAGCGTGAGAGGGGTGTCTTCACTGGTTTCAAGGCTTCCTTTTGGAAGCCAATCTCTAGATACGTGGCCAGGTACATTATGTTCACCGAACTACCGTTGTCTATAAGGATACTATGGATTATCGCATCCATGACTTCCATCTTTATTACCTAGGCGTCTCTATGTGGGGGAGGGCAAGGTGACAGGTCGTCGTTAGTAAAACTGATGGTCTCCTGAATCTGCTTCTTGTCTGCAGGGAGGCGGTTGATTTCTCCAATGAACAATTGACGACTCCACTTCTTCCTCTCCCCAGTAGTGTCTCCTCCCACTGGTCCACCGTAGATCTGGTTGACATGTGGGCACTTCTGCCGGCCGGAATCTTCCCTTTCTTCGTCATCCTCGGACTAGGCTCCGACCTCCCTCTTTTTAGAGGTTGAGGTCTGCTCACCTTTGCCCTTGGTCCAGGTGTTCTTCTTTTGAGGGGGTTGCCCCTGACGGCTCTTCTTCACAAATTGATCCAATTGCCCTTCATGGATGAGCCTTTCCACGCACTTCTTCAGGACGTAGCAATCATCCCTCTCATGGGTAACGCTCTTTTGAAGTTTGCAACATTTTCACCGAGTAGCCTGACTACTCATAACATTGCAACCGCCGGGAAACGTTACCAAGCCCTGTTTGGCCACGTAATCCAGGACTGTGCTTATTAGATGTGTCAAAGGGGGAAACTCTGACTGACTGGATAGAGGTCTGTCGGGTGCATCCGACTTGCTCTTTCCCCAACCCTTCTTTTTTTCTTTTTGATCCATTCCTCTTTTCTTGGTCAGTGATCTCTTTCTCGGAACTCTTCTTCTTTCCGTCGTCAACTAGGTGCTTTCCGTCCTCCTCATCTCTTCCGCTTCCCAGCCTCCTCTACCTCCGCTTGCTGATCGGCTCGTCGCAAGGCTTCCTCATGCGAGGTCAGGGGCTATGTATGAACTCTTTATGTAATTCTCCCCGACCTCAAGGCGTCAGTGAAGATTGCCATGACGGATCTATCCTCCAAACCATCAACCTTTACTGATTCATCCCTCCAGCGAACCAGGAAGGCAGTTAAGGTCTCTTGGCGCCCTTGCTTGACTCCTAGGAGGTGAGAGAAGTTCTTCTTGGAGTCCTTTGAGCTGGCAAATCGTGCGATGAATGCTTGGGCTAACTCCCGGAAAATTTGAATCCTCCCATCAGGTAGGGGGTCATACCATTCCCGGACTGGCCCATCTAGTGACACCGAGAATCCTCTGCATCTGATCGCATCATTGTACCCCATCATCACCATGTCGATCATGTACCTAGAAACATGGTGTTCGGCGTCGGTCTTGCCTCGGTAGGCCTCAATATTGCAAGGCTTGTACCCATGTGGCGGTGGAGCGTCCATTTGAGCACCACCTCGATTGCTCCTAGCATGGTTGTGACCGTGTGATCCAACCATTGTCATCGCAAATCGTTCTCTCAACGAGAGCACCAAATGATGGAGTTTAAATCCAATTACGAGAGCTAATCTACGAGAGCATATGAAATTTAGACAACATAAGACATTATTATTCTTCTGGAATTCGGATCCTTTATAGGACCGGCGAAACTGTAAATCCTTTGACCCGTCAGTCCGTCACTACGTTGTGAACGGAAAGCATGAATCGGGTTTGCGAGAGCTTCTTCTTTCTAGGTTTCCTCCCTGGTTGCCCTCTGCGCTTCATCCCCTAGTCGACTCCTTTGCTTAAAGTGCAGTTCAACAGCCTGCCATTATCGTTCACCCAAATAATTACATGGGGTAATTTGAGTTTGCGCCCCATTTTTTTGTCCAAATTGGACTTTGCACCCTGTTTCTAAAAATATTTGTTTTTGCACCCCAACCCCGTATGGAAAGACAAAAATGCCCCTCAATCAAAAATATGTTGAAGGCCAACGAAATTGTTAGCGGAGGGGCATTTTTGTCTTTTCGTAAGAGGTTGGAGTGCATAAACAAAGATTTTTAAAAATGGGATGCAAAGTCCAATTTGGATAATAAAATGGGATGGAAACTCAAATTAACCCTGATTACATTTATAAGCAAACCAGCTTCCTTCGCTATCGTCTCCACGGTTAATAGCAGCCAGCCATGACCGGACGAAAATATAAGTCTCCACGGGGGAAACTCAAGAAAAGGAAACGTAATAAGAAGGAAGAGACTGCCGCCTTACCATCAGTCCCAGAAAACCAGGAGAAAGTTTTGGAAACCAGCTCATCAGCAGACACTGAAACTATTGCTGAATATCTTACCCGCTTTATTAAGGATACCGTTAAAGATGGTCACTCGGTTAACCAGTTTGGGACGCTTGGAAATGATGACTCCTCTTCACCACTAAGAGAGGAATCTGGCGAATCTGAAGTTCAGACTGTTATCTCGGAACAAAATGGCCAAGAGGTGTTTGATGAATGTCGCAAAGAGACCAGAACATCAAGAGCAAATCCCCCTCGGTCAGTCTATGCATTTTATATTGGTTCTCTGAGAGTGAACATAACATCTAAACATGAAATCAGTTTCCTTAATTTTGAAAGAGTTATTATATCATTTGAAAATTTAGTAGATATAAAAAAGTTATCGAATTTATAAATTTTAGCAGCTTTCTATCTGATTTTCCAGTTTAACTTGTATAACAACAAAATATGGGTTAAATTTCACTTTTCTGTATTTTATACCACCTGTGCAAGCGAGGAATATTATAAGTTTTAAATCTATTCATATAAAATGCTGTGTTTTCATAATTTTGTACTGCGTAATATGTAAAAGTTATGGACACACTAGGTGAATGTGTGACACCTAAGAATGTCTCCTTTGAATGTCTGTGTTGAATACTTAAATACTTCCGCTTTATACCATTGTCACTTTAAATTGAAAACACTGAATCCTTTTTCATATCAGTTGCATCATTAACTGATATGTTAACGTTTTGAATCAATCAAATGGTTAAAAAATGTAATATGTAACAAAAGCTGGCAGACGAGGCAAAACATAACCGTTACAATACCAACAACAACATCATCATCCTAGCCTTAATCACAGAAGAGTTTGGGGTCGGCTAACCTGAACCGACACAATAACTGTTACAATTATGACAAAAAATCTTCCAGTTCCAAAAATCCCCTAACAGCTAGTCAGCCTCATCACAAGCCAAGCTCTAGTGCTCTACCTCTACCCGCAGACACCCATGGCTCATTACCTCATTATAGCTCCACCACCTCTAATCACCATCCCTTTAAGGACAGAATGATAGCTTTTGCATATACTGTTTCTCATGTATTTAGGATTTTAGGGTTTGACCATGAAATATTTTGTGTGTTGTGCTTAAATAATGAGACTCTGGTTGATTTTTATGTTTGCTTGTTATCAATTTAGAGTATTTCTTGAATTCTTGTACAGAGTACTCTATTTTTCTTAATGTAAACATCTCGTTTTCTTTTGGCATGATGTTAAGGACGCAATAAATTTGTAACTTTATTGAAAAGGGGGGTGGGCTTGAAATATCTAATAAAATTAGATATATTAGTCTTTTCACATATATAGATATATTAGTCTTTTTGTTTTAGCTATATCTAATAAAATGAGTTCAAACAAAAACCTAAAATTGATTTATTCAGTTTGAAACAATTTTTTATATCCTGCCACATTCTCTTTCCTTCCAAATTTCCCCTCAACGTTCCTACTAATTTTCTTCCCTTGGCAATTTCTGAGTTCCAAAAAGACTTGTAAGGAATTTTAGGTAGCATAGTCCCCACTGAAATCTCATGTCTTTAATCTCATGTGCATCTGACACTTTTAAATACATCAATTAATCAATCTCTGTGAGAGGCAGTCAGGACTCTCATTCAGAACTGATTTTATAAATACACTTGGCTATTCCATTTCTACAAATTAAAGGGAACTTACCTATGGTCATTCAATTGCACAATCTCCCTGCATGGTGAAACTATATACCAACAGGCCATTCCCCATCTATGTAAATTCTTATAATTTGATTACCTTTATGCTACCCTCTCTTTTTTTGAACGGAAGCAATGGGTTACTTTTATTTCTAAAATTTGTACTCATATATGGTTTTCAGCCCATTTTCCATCATTTGCAATGGAGCCAAAGACTCGTTATTTTTTGGCTTGAGAATATGATGGAATAAAGTAAAATGATTCACTAAACTGTCTGTGCTTCTTTGTTATGAAATAGCAGTCAATCCATGCAATTTTTCAACGCGATTTTCACTATGGGTCATTCGGAAACAGTCTCTTTGTGCTTTAGTACATGGGTAAGATTGCGTACATCCGACCCCTTGACCCCCCATTACACCCACGGAAGGTGGGAACCTTTGTGGCATTGGGGTAATGATGATGATGATGATGATGATTGAAAAGGAGGGTAGGATAAGGGAAAATTTATTAAAGGAAAACATGGCTTTTTTGAAATGAGGAGTTTGTTGTGGGACAATATAAAGAGGAAATGGGAAGTTTATCTTGGGATGGAGGAAGTGAATATTTACATGTTCTAAAGAGGAGTTTAAGAGGCGCAATATGAGACACCCTCTGGACAATATAAATCCTCTTCTTGCACGATAAGAGGCTTATGTCCCAAACAGTCAAGGCATGACTTGTGGCGTGCCTCAGAATGTTTTATAGGAAGGGTTCTTTGTTTTCTTTTTCTTAGACTGTTAAAAAGTTGGTAACAAAGCTCACAGAGTAAAAGTTAGTCCATAAATATGCTTTTAAAATTCCAACGAAGAGTTAAAAGAAATCACTGCCTCTTTGGTGATTGGCTTGTGGGTGAAAAGTTAAAATGATGGTGAAGCTAACACATATAGAGATGACCGATGCCCTTGGCGTTGATATTTTTGGAGGAAAATCAACAGAAGGAACTCAAACTCATTCAAAAGAAAATTCAACCAAGTAGAGCGGTTCTCACCTCTCATCGGATAAATCATAAAAAATGGAGGTAGATGATGAAGAATGGAGGGAATTTATGGACTTTGTGACTTGATGTGGTCATGTCAAGTGTTTGAGACTTTTTGGACTAATAATTGTACAAATCTTAAGTTGGTACTTAAAAGTTGAGCGATAATAAAGTTGTTTGCTGGGACATATTCAGGACATAATTAGTAGGAGTGAGCAGAAGCAAATCAATGACCCTTGAACTTCCTAGTTTGAAACTGTTTGTGTACGTCTATTTTACCTAGGAAGTCAATAAAATATCTTCTCTCTGGTTCCAAATACTTTATGTTGTGTCATTTTTAAAGTTGTGCTCCAAGACTCCAAATACATGTACATTTTTAGATAAACACTTACCTACATAGAGTACATGGAAAATGTCAGGGAAATGCTGATAGATTTTTCTCAAAATTGAAGTGATGTCGTACAACAACTTTTAAAATGCACAACTTCTTTAGGCAACATGGCGTGCCTTACAACTTTTGGAGAATATGGGATGGAAGGCCTATCCCAAATTAGGCAATAGGTATACTTGCGCCTTTTCAGGTATGGCATACGGCGTACACTTATTGCTTACACAATATAGTGAGACTAAAGGCGTGAAATAAAATAAGGCCGACTTCTGCAGCCCAAATCCCCAAACGATTTTTTAAAATACATACTCCGTATATAGGTTTGTGTATGTCGACTTGTGCAATACATGTCGAATTTGTAATCTGCGGCTGCTTCCTTTTGTGTTAGTTGTATATTTCTTTTCTTCACGCTAACAAATCCAGGCATGTAATTATTTATATACTTTGTGGTTTATATAATTATAATTTTTTTATTTGTCTATTTATTTTTTTTATTTATTCACATAGGAATATAGGATAGCTTATGTGGTCAGAGTAAATGGTAGAAAATATGAAGGAATACTAATTTTCTATAACTATTTTTGTTAATTATAAACACTGTTTGTGTCGTTATATGTGTAGCGGAATACCAAAATGTGTACTTTCAGGCACAAAAGTTATTAATGTGGACACATTTATTAGTCAGAAGACCATATCTGTAGCGGAGTAAAGTTGTATAACTAAAAGCGATCACGGTCAAAAGTCATGGGACTAAATCTACAATTTTCTTTGATGTTTCATAACAGAACGCATTGCTAGAAATGTGTACTAATATCTAATTACTATCCTATTTGAACATGAAGAATGTATGCATTATTGGGTTATCAGACTAGTTATATGAAAAAAAGTATGTCATCATCATCATTACCCTAGTGCCGCAAAGGCTCCCACCTACGGTGGGGTAGGGGGTCGGATGTACGCAGTCTTACCCTTGTACTAGCACAGAGAGACCGTTTCCGAATGACCCATAGTGAAAATCGCGTCGAAAATTGCATAGGCTGACTGTTACTTCATAACAAAGAAGCGCAGACAGTTTAGTGAGTCATTTTGCTTTATTCCATCATATTCCCAAGCCAAATAATAGTAAGTCTTTGGCCCCATTGAAAATGATGAAAAAAATTATGTGCATTTATATAAAGGGAAAAGGGTCATATAGGGTCTCGAACTTACAAAAAATGTCAAATAAGGCCTTATATAGGTAGTTCTGTCCGACCGACGCCATTTGGGGCGGTTCCCGGTGGAATTTTTTAATATAAATTTTTGAGCATCTTATTCATTAAGTCTAGTTTACTCATACCAAGTTTCAGCTAAAACTTCAATCGGAAAGGCATTCAAATAAATTCTTGAAGATAAGTGCGCAGTTAAAAGCGCAGTTATCTTCAAGAATTTATTTGAATGCCTTCCGGATTGAAGTTTTAGTTGAAATTTGGTATGAGTAAACTAGACTTAATGAATAAGATGCTCACAAAAGTTCATCGAAAAATTCCACCGGGAACTGCCCCAAATGGCGTCGGCCGGACAGAACCTCCTATATAAGACCTTATTTGACATTTTTTTGTAAGTTCGAGGCCCTATATGACCCTTTTCTCTTATATAAATGAAAAATCCTGTGCATATGTTAAAAAAGTATTTATAAATATATCCATATATTTGGTATATTTGCTATATTGCTATCTATGACTGTTTCATATGTAAACAGGGAAATGGATGATCAACCGACTCCGCCTACTCAGTGTAAACCAAAGAGTCAGTCCCGCCAGAAAAAGGGTAGGCATGGCACCCGATTGACGGAATTGATTTCCAACCGTAGTGGTAATTCACTTTTCACCTATAACTTAAGTACATACTTTATCGAATAACTTAGTTTCTGTTGTGGTGTACTTAGTCGTATTTATTCTATTGCAGCTCATATAAGACTGCCTATCGACTTTCATGCTAAAACTGGGAAACCAATAGGCCCACATAAGAATAAATTCAAGAGTTTTGTGGCCCTTCTAGGAAGGAGTTTTGCTAGTATACTTAGACCGAATTGGAAGAGCATAGAGGAGCGTGTCAAGAATCAGATATGGGAGAGTATCCAGGTTATAAACTTTCAGCGCAAACCGCAAAGTTTTTATATGAAAACTCATCACATTTCTATTACATCGGTTAACCCTCTTGTTGATGCCAAATATAGCTTACCTTTGACGTCCCTAATGATCCTCGACTGAGAAAGAGATGGATCTCTTTTGCGGGTGCACGGTGGAGGGGATTTAAGACACAGCTCACATCACAGTACATATTTGGCAATCGATGTGACCAGTCTCCTTGTGAGGAGTACCCATTCATTGACCAGGACACTTGGCGACAGTTTGTCCTGAGCCGACAAGACCCTGCCTTTCTGGTAAGTAGCATTTATACCTTTTTAGCTGATGCAATTTCTTGTTTAATGTGCTATGCAGTGTGTTTTGTTGCATAACAGGAGCGCAGACAAAAGGCAAAGAAAACTCAGGCACTTAATGTCTGCCCACACATACTATCTCGGGGTGGATATGAGTTGCTCGAGGAAAAGATGATGGCTGGAAAATTGAAAAACTCTGAGGAACCCTCCCAGCCCGATCCTTCTGAAACTCTTGATCCTCCTCCCCCTCTCCTCCTTCCACGTCATGAAAAATGGAAGGCTGCACGGAAAAGGCCCTCTGGTGAGTTTACAACACAGGAGAGCCGCATGGTGGCTCAGAAGATTGTAAGTCAAAGATTGATTCTGGCTAGTAAGTTTAAAAGACTCATATACATTGAATAAGTTTCTTTATTTTGCAGGATTCCCTAGTTGAGGAAAGCACTCAAGGAACCTTTGTTCCTAAGGGTCGTGAGGATATCTTAACTGCTGCTCTTGGTCGATCAGAGCATCCGGGCCGTGTCCGTGCTGCTGGATGGGGTGTTGGTATTCGAGAGTACTTTGGACCCCCAGTACGCCCTCCAGTTTTTACTCAGGAGGATGTTGATCGCATCAAGTGGGAGGTGCGGCAGGAGGTGACACAGGAGTTGACACAATTATTCTCCCAAAAACTCCAGGATGAGCTGGCAAAGATGGGGTTTGCTCCACTACAGCAGCAGCACACACAAGTCCGAGATAGTTGTTTCCCTGCAAGTGTGAGTGTAGAGGGAAGCAATGCCCCAGATGCCTCTGAGCCTGATGATGATGATGAAATGTGTCAGCTTTATATTGATTCTCCTTTCCACTTAGTAGCAATGGGAAAGGTATGTTAAATAAAGAAACTACTTATGTTGATATTAAACTCTCTTAACATGCAATGTTTTTATGCTTCGATAAAATATTTTAAAATTTCAACCAGGTGCATGAATTGGGACCTACTATACACCATGAGACTATAGCTGCAGATATTGTGAGGGTTGAGGTAATACAAGCTCTAGATGCAGCTGCGCTGGTTCCTATTACCACTGACGAGGTTCGCACTGTGGGCCAGGCACTTAATCACTTCATTTCATGGCCACGAAGATTGATCGGTGCTCTTGAGTTCCAGGTTCTATAAAATTAAATACAATTGTACTCATCTGTTTAAGTTACTTCTATATGAATTTCAAGCTATTTACCTAATATTACTGTATTTGTGTTATGCAGGATGGTGGTGGTTCTGACCAAGATGATGCCCCCTATGAGCATCGAGACCCACTATCGCGTTTGCGCTCAATGGCTACACATCTCGGGCCACATCCTGTAGAGCTCATCCTGAGAAAAGAGGTCACTGGCATGGCAGATGTGCCTCTTTATGTCAGATCAGAAGAAATAATGGAGATATGTTTGGGTAATCAAATGCTTAGTGCAATAATTATACAAGTGTGGGTCATGTAAGTTCACAACATTGCACGACTGAATAAGTAAGTGACTACCAGTTGATATAATAAACATATACACTAATTATGCTTTTATCATAGGTATCTGCATGGAATATGTGTGCAAAGAAAAAATGTACATTTTCACGGATTTCTTGACCTGCAACTAATTCAAGATGTAGGAAACAGACACAAGGAAATCCAGACATACATACAGGGTCAGCTAAAGGGCGGTGGAAAGGAGTGCTACCTTGCACCTTATTTCTACCCGTAAGTGCAAATTTATGGTTAAATTCAATTTATTTATATCCAAATGACTTATTAAAAAACCACTCTCCATTTCAGGACGCATTGGCAATTGTTTGTATTATGCCCTCGGCAGAATACAATTGTCTTCTTTTGCTCTCTAGGGAATAAGCCGAAAAATAATATCAAGAGTGTCATGAATATGTAAGATACTATTTTAGTACTCTTAAATTGGATGATTATTACTACAAATCTATGTAATCTGTTACAGAAGTGACACGAGTACTTGTATTTGATTAGGGCCATGAAGGGACATCAGGTGCTAAAACCCACAAGGAAAATCAGTCCGAAATGGGTTATACCCAAGGTAAGTGACTTAAAACCCAATATTTGTTTACAGTTGGTCAAGGCTGTTATGAGTTCAATTAGGGTTTTTATGGTTCCTTTAGGATAAAATGGGGCTGGCAGGATTAAACAACTCTAACTGCAGGCCTGTAAATCTAGTCTCTTACATAGGCGAGAGATTGGAGTGATCATGATCCCTATGACAAACATTATGATCTCGCCCGATCTCAATTAGAGGCTAGTAATAAATCTGATTCTCATCCTAATCAAGTTGGAACACCCTGTCACATAGAATAAAACATGTAGATGGTTTTTTTTAGTGAATACAAAAAAATGTAAACAGTAATAATTGATTACTCATTGAAGAAAATGTTACCGAGTAATTTTTTTTTTATAAAGACAAATCATATTAACAAACTAACTGTCAACTAGACAGGACCAATTTCCAAGGGAAAGTGGGAAGTAACTGTTGGTAACTGCCTAAGAAATACTTGTAATACTCGATGAAAAACAGTTTTTAATGAATGTGTAATCAAAGTGAGAGGATGAATAACTAACTACAAAAGAAATTCCCGTTAAGTAGGGATCTGATTGGGATACTACTTTTAATCGTTTATAAGAAATATTACAATCACGATGATATCATGACATGGACTGATCAGGATTAGGAAAAAATCCTACTAGCTGGGATCAGGATGTTGGGATTATGATCATCAGGTTCAGAATATGCGCGATCAGGAGTCATTTCCCACTCTAATTAGAGTTAGATAATTAAAATTAAAAGCTGTGTGTGTATATAATCACAATGTCGGGATCCCAACTTTCAAAAAATTGACATTGTAGATCGAGACTAATTCCAATACACTATAGATCTGGACAACATCCCAGCTATTAGGGAGCGGGATTGGGACGTCATTTTAGGTCAACCAAAGCAAATCCATCTATTCATGAATTCGTCTAGTCCAAAAAGTTCTATATATAATTCCCGAAGTGCGGGAGGGTGTGTTATTTTCGTGATATGTATGACATTTCTTTTATATCAAAACAATTAGGATAAAAATTCACACCATAGGTATGCCAAATGACTCTAAGATGCATGAATGTAAGCAAATGAACAAGTGAACAACTAAAACATAGGTTCTTTTAGCGCACGCGCACGCGCGCACACATACATTTGTGTGATTTTTATGCATTTTCATTTATTTCAAAGTGCTCAAAGTGAACGCATTTATTCTCCATTTTAGTATGTGTTTTATACGGGTTAGAATGACTTCAATATTTATATGCAGTCCCGAATGCAAATGGGAGATCATGAATGCGGGTACTATGTCATGAGACAAATGTTTACCATCATTTATGCGGATGATATCAATGCATGGATTGGGGTAATACAATTTTATATACCAATCTTTTATAGTATTACGTAACAAACACACACATGCGAGAGTGAGAATACATCTCATTAGCCCGTGTGATCGAAATCCCAACATTCAGGCTTCATTTTGGCGAAAAATAATTAAATGTTCCATTTTTTACTCATCAGTATTTACTACTAGTTTGAACAGCTAGATCATGGAAAAATAATAATTTAAGCCGAGTTAAATTCCATTTTTATGATAACAAAACTCACTTGTTACATAAGTATTAGAGGTGAAAAAGTGAATTTATAAGGTCAACTTTCGAACAGTTTGAAAATCTAAAGGTATAAAGTTATAAACTAATACTCCCTCCATCCCGCTAACAACGGGACAAGAGGGAGTGACACGCAAATCAATAAAAAGTGATTTATGTGGTTGATATTGAATTGATAAAGTAAGAATAAAGTAAGAATGATTTAGATTTTAGAGCCACACAAACTTTATCAAATTTGGTATGGGACAATCTTAGTGGGACACTAGGACGGACCGATAAGGTAAAAACTGAAAATGGACTGATGGGATTTCCGTTACGAATTTAAAGATTGACCTTAAAGACTTAGTGGGGGTCTAATGTGTATCCATTAGACCCCAATAACCTTAAAAGAAATTGCCCTAAATAGGAGTACAACAATGCAAAATTTTGAACTATGAGCATTATGTTTTTTCTATAAATAGAGTAATTACTAACTCAAAAAATAAGCTAATTAAGACACCAAACATTAAAACTACCATACTTGCTGCTACTTTATAATTTGTGTACGCTTTTACTCCTATTTCGGAAAATTTCCTCAACTTTTATTAATAGAATTTTGATTTCAACTACTCATTTTTCTAATTAATGGCTACCTCCAAATAAGTTGACTTTTTATAAGCATCCCTAACTGAATTGGTGTTTTTTTTTGCATTTATTTTAAATAATTACAAAAAAGCCACCCATATTTGTCATTGATTAGAAACGTAAAAAGAAAAAGGCTAAAAATCAATTTTCCTCACTATCATTTATAAATATACCCTCGTCTAGTAGTCTTAAAATGGGGTTGCTCATCTCATTTTAACTCGTAGGAACTTGACACTCAAGACGCATTCACTGAACAAGAAATCAATGATGTGCGGGAACGTTGGGCATCATATTTGTGTGACATTAAGGGGTTTTGATATTTTGTACTAGTGCTTTCAAGGAAATGAACTGTGTGTATATATTAGCTATGGCACAAATTATTATCGTCATTTCCCGGTCAACTCCAAGCCACAACTCCTTGAGTTTCACGTAATTGTATGTATGGCATATAGAGCCTGCACTTATTGTCGTGCATGCAAATAAAAAAGTGGTTTTCCCGTGCAAAGTGTGAATGGTTGCACTTATTGTCATGTGCTGCACAGCATGCACTTTTGCCTTCAAGCGATGCACTTTCAGAAATCACCCCTTATATAGGAGGTTCTGTCCGGACATTGTCATTTGGAGCGGTTTCCGGTGGAATTTTTTGATGATTTTTTTTAGCATCTTCTTCATTAAGTTTAGTTTACTCATACCAAATTTCAGATAAAAATTCAACTGAGAAGACTGTCAAATGATTTTCTGAAATGTAATGAGCTGTTTAACTGCGCAGTTATCTTCAAAGATTCATTTGATTGCCTTTTCGATTGAATTTTTAGCTGAAATTTAATATGTATAAATAGACTTGTGTAGGGAAGTGGTCCTTCATCCGCATTTGCAAGTTTGCAACTCTATAGCCCTACAGAATTCATAAAATTCGCACTAAAATACATATTAATATGTAAACCTTTGATGACAGACAACTCAACCGGCCAGACACTACTCACGTACGCAATTGGCTCACAGGCAAATCAATACAAATAAAATTGGCTCACATACAACTTTTCAGGCCACTCAAATACACATACATGTTCACAGACATTTTTAACTACTCTCTCAATAAATTCAAGAGAATCACTATAAAATTGGCTCACAAACAAAATTTTAGCCAAAGACACCACTCAGATACATGTACATGTTCACCGACATCGGTTTCAGCCGGCCAGAGACAAGCTAAGCCTTAACAAAGTTAACCTCAAACCCAAACAAAAACAACAACAACACATTCGGAATGTACACCAAGCTCAAACCAAACAACAACAACAAATTCTCAAACCACATGAAGCTCATACACAAATCCGGAAACTATACCTTCAACAATAACAACTAAATAATTACAAAGATTTGCCAAACAACAAACACCATCTTCAAATCAAAATTCGAAAATAAAACAATAATTATTTGGAGGAAGGACTTACTCCACAACCATTTCAATAAGGGTTCGTTGCACCATTATCTTTTATGAAAGAGGGCTTCAGCGCGCGGTTCGGACACTTCATCGCACCCTTAGCTTCGATCTTTGCACCTTTTTCGCAAACAAAGTTGCCTCGTGGGGGTTACCATTGTGGAGGGGTTGAAGTTGTGTTGTTGGGTAAGCGAAAAAAATGACTGCTTATGGAGGACAGATGGGAGTTTTTTTTATACAAGCTAAGTAATATGGAAAGTGTACGTGTACAACATATGTGTGCAAGTAGCTAGCATTTTTGTTTTTGTTTTTCTAGGCTACATCATTCATGGCCGCTGAAGTTCGTCTCTGTATATATTAACGTACTTCTCCTTCTTCCTATGTTTGCATTTTCATTTTCCCATTTCTTCTTTTCTTTTATCCTCCACCAAACAAAAATATATATCAAACAAAATATTTGCTTCTTTTTCCATAAAAACCCTCCTTTTTATTGTCTTATAATTTCACTACGCAACCCAAGGACGGGGCCGGGTCAAGAAGTATAATATAATTAATAACCATTGGTATTAGCTAGATGTGTAGCCCAATGGATATGGATGCTATGTATTAATATGTGCATGTCTTGAATGAACTTTATAACATGCATACGGCCGGACTTACGGAGTAATATCATATCTATCTTAAGAAATTAACTTGGGCCAGAAAAAATATTAACACACATGATGACATGACCTGCCACATCAGCAACTAACGATTCCATAGTACATGAAGTACGTATATGGTGCATTCGGGTGTATGTACACCCGGCTCAAATAAGAAAGACAGTCCAACAATCAATACAAGCCAAAAAAATTCGGTGGCATTTTTGTAATATAAGTGAAAAATTACGGTTTCCGCTAAATGAGCAATAGTGTACATTTAGTGAGCATCTGACATATTTTATTGAGTATTTAGAGGCTAACAATGAGCATCTATGAATTTTCATATGCGAATTTAATGCAATATGATACTTTTAAAATATGCATTAATATAACATTTTAAAATGAGCATATCATCAATACCAAATGAGTATACGTAACTTATAAAATGTTTATTGATATGAAAATCGTAAGATTTGTTAGTTTAACATAACGATATGTTCATTGAGCACCAAACCTCATTTATTGAGATGAAAATCAAGCTTTCTGTTAAATGTGTATACCATTACCACCAAATGAGCATACATAACTGATGGAGTATATGGCCCAGGGACCACCGGCGCTAGGGATGAGCATTCGGTTCGTCGGTCAAATAACCAACCGATAACCGAATAATCGACCAATATTTTTTACTCTAATAACCGATCGATAACCGACCGACAACATTACAAAAAACGACCGAAAAATGTCATTTAGTTTCGGTCGGTAACCGAATAACCGACCCTATTTCAAAGCATAATTTTCAAAATTATGAAAGTTGTAGACAACACATTAATAAATAAAATAATAAATACCAAAATGGATTTAACTTATTTAAATGTAAATAATAGTACAAAGCACACTACATATGCACACATGATGCATCACCCACATATATCTTTTTCAATCAGGAGACAAAACAAAAAATGACATGTTAGCAAATAATTAAGCTATTAACTTCTTAAACATTTAACTCCAAACCCGCAAACTGATCTAACGAGGTCAAGGGTTGAGGGCTCCAGAGCATTCGACTATTGGATTTCATAGGTGGACTTCAATAAGTGTGGGTTGGACTTCATACTATGGACTTCAATAAAACTTCTTTTCCTTAAAAAAAACTTATATATTTTGGACGGTTATCGGTGATCGACCGATAACCGATAAATATAACCGAATAAAAACCGAATAACCGAATAACCGATTCTTTTTAATTTATTATAACTGAAAACCGACCGATAACTGATTTTTTCGGTCGGTTCGGTCATCGGTTTTCGGTTAGGTCGGTTAAATCGGTTATTTGTTCACCCCTACCAGGCGCAAAACAAGCTTAAAAGGAAGCATCTCAAATTGAGATCAGGAGTGGCCCACAATCTAATTTTGAGGATGTTTTAGATTATGATTATGATGTTTCAGATCAGGAGTTACATGTCCGTTTAGGTGGTCGTAAAAGAGAGCATCTCAAATTGAGCTTAGACTAAGTGCAAAACATCAAGTTAAAAACGAGGTAGGCGACTGGATTTATTTTCACATTGCAATTGATTTTCAGTGGTTGGGTTTGGGACTTGGGTTTGGGTTTGGGTTTGGAAGGACAGATTTCAACCGCTTCTATTGAGGATCTTCATTAAATAGGACCAAAGTTTGCCTAAAACTCACAAAAATAGGACTAAAGTCTTAAATTATTCACAAATAGGACTAAACATTAATATTGTACCCTAAATAGGCCTTTTGACTGGATAAAAGACAAAAAAGTAACATATTTTTGAAAATTCCAAAAATGTGACCAACATCACAATTAACTCCTTGCAGTGCAAAGTGACTCTGACTAAGGTGACTCCAGCCAAAGTGACTCCGTCATCACGGTCACTGCCCCACCGGCCACATTGACCGCCCAGCGATCGTTGTGACTGCCCCACCGGTCACAGTGACTGCCCTACTGGCACAATGACTCCAGCACTCCCGCACAGTGACTCCGGCATAGTCCGCACAGTGACCGAACATCAGCTTCGGCCGATGACCACCATCGATAACAATGACTACTCCGGCCAGCCAATCCTCAGTCGGCAAGGGTGACCACCGCCTGCGATCCCTCCCACTAGTCACCAGCACTACCCCATACGCCTCTCCATCCCCCCAAACTCCAACCCCCTGTCCCTGCCACCCTCCCTAGCTCCAGATCTGACCAAACTCAACCCAATCCACCCCTCCCAACCCCAATCTATCCTAGATCAGACAACTCTTATCCAGCCCACCATATCCCCTCTCTAGCTCCAAACCCTAGCCTTCATCTGTTTATTCATCAGGCATCACCATTAACCTCAGAAGAAGCTTGAGGAACGGCGACCTGGCGGAGACGAACCGGAGGCTGAGGCGATGACCTGGAGGATGAGGAGACAACGTGGTGGCGGAGGCAGTGACCTAGAGGATGAGGCAGAGACTAGCGGCGACTTGGAGGCAGTGGCGGCCTCTAGGTGGAGGTGGCGAAGTGAAATCGGAGGCGGAGATCTATAGGTGGACGCGGCGGCGTGGGATCGGAAACGGCGACATGAAATCGGAGGTAGCAACCTGGAGGAGGAGCTCATCTACCATCTTTGCCAGTCGTTGGAGGCTTGGATCTGGGGAAGGAAGAGATGACGGAGGAGAGAAGAACGTTGTTTAATTGCTCTGCAGCTCTAATCGAGTTTTGGTCACTTATTTGTCTTATTAATAATTGGTCATATTTTTGTCAACAAAAAGTGAGAGACTGTTATTTAGGCCAATTTCTCCTAAATACCTTTAATGGTATTAATTCATAATGAAATCTTTTAATTTATAATAAAATCGTACAAAATAACAAAAAGTCGTTGAAAAGTAATAAAAAATATTAAAATATTTATTAAAAAAAAATAAATTCAAAAAACAATTTTGATTTTTTAAAAAAAATTAATAATAAATACTTTGTAGTAAAAGCCCATATATATTGGGAGATTCCCCAAAATAGGAGCAATTGGAGTTTGAAATTCCAAAATAGGATTAACATGGTAGTATTTATTGTCATCTTGTATGCGTGACTGTCAAATAGTTGCAGTACAGTGCATTTAACATGACAATATTAATTATAATTAATGGCAATATTTTTCAATTATGACAGTATTTTTCATGTATGTCAGTTTCAACTCCTATTTCGGGAAGAAAAATATAGTAGTCCTATTTTGGAATTTCAAACCTCATTTTCTCCTATTTTGGGTAATTTCCCATGAAAATGCCAAGAAAATGGCATCACTATTGTTGATAATGCCAAAATTTTCATTAAATCTGCCGTAAATATGGCGTTACTAATGCATGTTGGAATTTTTTCTCCGGTGATCGAAGATGGTGGTGTTGGGGGTGGCAAAGGCGGCGGTGTAATTTTTTTACGTTTTTATTTATTTTATTTTTTATTTTAAAAAAATTGAAATTTTAATTTTATAAATATTTTATTAATTTTATATTATTTTTTACAATTTTTTTATTATTTTTTATGATTTTATTATGAATAAAAACATTTCAAAAGCTACAAGGGTATATTTGTCCAAACACACATAATTCATCCTATTAGGGAATTTAAAGTAATCTAATCTTATTTGTGATTGTTGACTATCTTTTAGTCCTAGCTATTTAGGTAATTCACTTTTTTGTGAATTTATCCGAGGCTTTTTACTTGAACTATAATTTGCTGGTCTGGTCTGGTCTGGTCTGAACTGGTTTGGTCTGGTGTGGTCTGGTTTCTTTGTATTTTTATAACTATCCAAGTCTGGTATGATCTGGTCTGAACTTGTCTGGTCTGATCTGGTCTGTGACGAATTACAGTCTAAGTGAAAACATCCTAAAAGAAGCACTTATTATGACAGTACCATGTGACTTTTAGTAGCTGTTATTATTATTATGTTCAATTTTAAACATTAGTGAACATGAATTTATAGTAGTAGTAACTTTTGTCACATTTTGTGAATTATTATCCATCAAATTGATTATATTAAAGTAATGTCTTAGAGAAAACATCGTGATAAAATTATACTACCTTCGTCCCACTAAGATTGGGACGATTATTAAGAAAAGTGGGTTTGTGTGGTTGATATTAAATTGATAAAGTAAGAATGGTTTAGAGCCACACAATCTTTACCAAATTCGGTATGAGACAATCTTAATGGGACTTCCTGAAAAGATAAAATGGGACAATCTTAGCGGGATGGAAGGAGTAACACTTTTTGTAACAATAACAACAACAATAATAATAAAATAATTTGGAGTAATAATAACAGTAAATGTTGTGAGCTAAACTGTTTAATAACAATGTGAAAGAAAAGCCTTTCAAAATTTGTGTCAATTACAAGTTCTCTCTCTAGGGTTACCATCCCGTAACGCCTAGGTTTCGTCCGCCGCTGGCTTCTGCCAAGGCAGCTTCGGCCGCCACTGGCCAGCCGGGAGGAGAGCGGGTTCTTCGAGTTCCCTGGAGCTTCGTTCGTGAGTTGTGGTTTTTGTTCTATGGAGGACTCGGCAGAATACGGCGGCTTCACGCAGGCTAGTTACAAGACGGGGATCTTGCTGTTGTTGAAGTGTGTAGGTGCTGCGGCAAGAAGCAGTTACGTAGACAGGCTAAGCAGCGGCTGTCGGAAAGAAAAGCAGGACAGTGGGTTGAATGGAAGGTGTAGTGGATAAGTATAAGAAGATGGCGATTGTGGCTTATAAGAAGAAGACAGAATCGATGCGAAGGAGACACCAGTGGAGGACTGCAGACCGGGATTTCCGGTGGTGGGAGTGCTATTAACATATCGTAAGGTCAGATTTCCAGCTATCAAAGAGCTCATGGCTTCGCTTTGGAGGTCGGGAAAAGGACTTTCGATCAAAGAAGTTGGTGAAAAAAGCTATCTGTTTACTTTCTATCGTCGTGTGGATATGAATCCTGTGCTTGAGGGAGGCCCATGGCAATTTGAACGTAATTTGTGGTTGTTGAAAGAAGTAAAGCCTGATGACATCCCTCATAAAATTGTGTTAAATGAACCTGATTTTTGGGTTGAAATTCATAATGTTCCATATAGCCTAGTAAATTTAGGTACTACCAGGAGGGTTGGAAACTTTATTGGAAAATTTATAAAGTATGATGATAATCAAAATAGTGAAAATGGGAGGCTTATATGAGAGTCACGGTGTGCATGAATGTGGATAAACCGCTGAAAAGAGGAACTAATCTGAAGAAGGAAGGTAAGAGCTATTGGGTAGACTTCAAATATGAAAAGTTACCCAATTTTTGCTTTATTTGCGGGTTAATTGGCCATTCAGATAAATTCTATCAATTAAATTATGAAGAAGATCTGGTTCTGGAAAAACATTTTTGGGTTCAGCTTAGAGCAGGTAGTGGGGAGAAGACGAGTCCTACAGGAGGAAGTCAATGGCTACTGGAGGGTTCATCGAGCTCTAGCAGAGACCACATGTATGGGGGGGGGGGAATAAATCTGATGACAGGATGGGGGTGACAGGAAAGAGTCTGTTGCAAACTCAGAGCAGAGCATAACTAAAGACGTGGGAGTTGAGGCAAAGGAAGAGACAACGGGGGAACAAAAGAGAAGAAGGATTTGGGATGCACAGGAAGATGGTAAGAATGGGGAGGATGGCATGGATCTTGATGGGACAAAAAACGGGGAGAGGGCAGGCTTCGATTAGTAAGTCCGCCCAAGTTGATACAAGAACCAATGCAGAGAAGCTTGGGGTACTAGTGCAATTCGGAATGCTCGGACAACAGCTTTAGTCTATCAGTTTTATCTTTTTCTTTTATGACAATGTTGTTTGCTATGTGTTTTGTTTTGTTTTTGTTGTTCCTTTCTGTAAGACGGTGGATTCGGATATGGGGGATGAAAGGATTGGGGTAACGGGTAACCTTCATTGGCTAATTTTTGCCCATTAATGGATCAACGAGTTATATTGCTTCGTTTGAGGTGATTAACTTTGAGTCTGGTTCACAAGACGACGGTTGTCAGGATTCTTTTTGTCGGATTACCCATTATAAATCTGAATGATTTATTATCAATTTAAGCCAATTTCTTTCAAAAAAATAGTAAATGTTAATAATGATGATGGTGATGATGGTGATGATGGTGATGATGATGATGGTGATGATGATGGTGATGATGATGATGATGATGATGATGATGATGGTGGTGATGATGATGATGATGATGATGATCATGATGATGATAATGATGATGATAATGATGATGATGATGATAATGATGATGATAATGATGATGATGATGATGGTGGTGATAATGATGATGATAATGATGATGATGATGATGGTGATGATGATGGTGGTGATGATGGTGATGATGATGGTGATGATGATGATGACGATGATGATGACGATGATGATGACGATGATAATGATGATGATAATGATCATGACAATGACAATGATAATGACAATGAGAATGGCAATGAGAATGACAATGAGAATGACAATGAGAATGACAATGACAATGAGAATGACAATGAGAATGAGAATGACAATAACAATGACAATGACAATGACAATGACAATGATCATGACCATGATGATGATGATACATTTGGGTTCTTCAAACGTATGGAAACGATGAAAAATAACACGGGTCAATTAAACACATCTATGTTATATCAACATTAGTAGGGATCTTAAATTCTTAATGTAACATACATCGTAGAGAACATATCATATAGACCAATATAAAATAGGGGAAAATAATTTAAATATCTTAAACTTTAAGTGGGTGTGAGGTAAGGATCCTAAACTTGCGCATATATAATATATATATACCTCAATCTTTATATAAAAAGTTATGTTACCATCATAATCATATGTTTTTCCACAAATGTTATTTTATGATATTAATTACATAATTTAAAATACACAATGCACTTATGAGGATGCAATTAAAATAAGATTGTATCATATTAATATTATTTATTTCACACGTGAAATTTTAGAATGTAAACCACATCCAAATAAAGCTTAGAGCACTTTAAATTGTGTATTTATTGCATTAAATTTATATTTGTAAAAAACGTATAATCATGGTACAAAAAAAGCTTTTTATATTAAGTTCGGGGTATATATATAAGATATCAAATACAAACCATGCTTAAAATACTAACCTACAAACTAGTCCTCTCATTCAAATCATCTTTACATCATTTCTATTGCACATTGAAGTTCAAAGTGTTTCATATTATTGAAGCCATAAAATAGCAGTTTCATATTTACATTTTTTGTATTGCATATTGAAATTCAAAGAGTGCATCTTTACATTATTTGTACTGCATATTGAAGTTCAAAGTGTTGCATATCATTGAGTTGTAGGTTACTAAGTTAAGCATGGTTTGTATGTGATCTCACCCATATATATATATATATATATATATATATATATATATATATATATATATATATATATATATATATTACATATGGAAGTTTGGGGTGTTTATCTCACACAGTTACACATTTTCAAAGTTTGGGGTATTTATATTATTTTCCCCTATTGGCCCTATATAATATTATAATGGAACAATTTTGTTAGTAAAATATAACTGAACACTTTAAACGTATACAAATATTGAAAAAGTGGTTTGGATCAATTAAATTAAATGCATTAGATTGATTTGTTGATATATGGTAATATTCAACCATTAAGCTCGAACTTAAGAATGGGTATGAATGGCAAAAATTAGTGTGTACACAAACATTAGTTTTCTTGCAACCTAACTCTGGCGTTTGTGCAAAATAGACGCGTAAATCAATGTGTGCATATAGACAAAAATTGCTTTTACCCGCACTTTTTTTGTCTATGTGCATAGACGTTGATTTCTGTGCAACCTAACCTTGATTTTTCTGCAACATTTTTTGTTGTATACATGGTCATCGAAAGAAAACCAGTATATGTATACAAATATTTCTTTGTGTATGGTGAAATTTTACAGTTTTATTATTTTCTATAGACAAATTATATATTTCTGGTGACTTCAAGTGTGGTTACTTTTTTGTCTGACTACTACTTGGGTGCGATGAAAGATGGCACATGGTTATATGGTGTAGATGGAAGACAACATGCGCGGATCCAGGAAAGTCATTTTGGGGGGCGAAAATATTTTGGGGGGGTTAAAGATACTTTTTGGAAGAGCAAAAATCATTTTTCGTATATATATACACTAAAAAAAATGTTGGGGGGCGTGCCCCTGGATCTCTACTACGGTCCGCCCATGGAAGACAATGAAGAAAGAAAATGAATAAGATGAAAAGTGTGAAAATAAAAGGTGTTGAATGGGTATGCATGTGAAAATTAATTACGGTAGGGAGGGAGTAATTAAAACAGGACGTTAAAGAGTAGCAGCAACCAACAATTCAATATCTTATACTCCGTATCTATCGATCGATGATGTATAAATATGCGCGCTGCGCCTTTACGGTGCCAAGACATCATTCTATCGCTCCTCATCCGCCGCCCATCAACACCAGGTAAGTTGCTACCTTCTCCGATCCGATCCATTAATTCTCGATCGAGTCCCGCCCATTTCTGATTTCTTCTTCAATTTCTTAAGATATCATGATGGCCTGTTCGGTTATTGGATGTGTTTTTGCGTGCAGGTGGTGGACAGAATGGGCGTAGAAGATGGAGGCGGAATGAGAAGGAGAAGGCTGTGCGGCCCTTTGTGCACAAAGGACGACTTCCTCCCCCAGGAATCCTTCAAGTCCTGGGCCAATTACGTCAATGCGCTCAAGCAGACTCCCTCCCGGTTTGCGGAACGGGTATTCACCCGCTCCCACGACGGAGCCGAGCTGGCCGCCACATCCCGGAGCAACCACCAGATGAAGAAGACTCTCTCCTGGTGGGACCTGCTGTGGTTTGGGATGGGAGCCCTCATCGGCGCCGGAATATTCGTCCTCACGGGCCTCGAGGCTCGGAAAGATGCCGGCCCCGCCGTCGTCCTCTCCTACGCCGTCTCCGGTCTCTCTGCTTTGCTTTCCGCCTTCTGCTACACGGAGTTCGCCGTTGAAATCCCTGTTGCAGGTCTCTGTCCCTGTCACTATATGTGCCCCGTTTTTTCAAATTGCCCCGTTTCCCTCCTAAAAAACGAAAGTCAACCTTTTCATTTTTATTAGCACTAAAAAATAAGTTAGTCATACTTCCTCCGGTTCTTATTTAAGTTCCCAGTTTGACTTCACACATATTAAGAAAATGAATTTGACTTTACTGTGTAGTGCACTGTTTGGCACTGTTTGGCACTGTTTGGACACTGTTTGGCACTGTTTGGCACTGTTCTGCATTGTTTTGCACTGTTTTGTTTCCTAAAATGGAAGTGTGAATTTAAATAAGGGACGTCCCAAAAAGGAAAGTGAGAACTTTAATAAGAACCGGAGGGAGTATATTTTACCAAGGGAAAATGCGCAAATGCACTTCAATCAGTTCAATGTTGACTTCTAAAACCAAAAATACATAACTACAAAAAACTAAAAATAAATAACTACTAATATTAATACAATACTCCCCAATTACTCCATAATATATTTCTTAGGGAGTAATTAGGGAGTATGAAAATTATATGAAGATATTCTTTATTAAAAAATCTTACATAAAAGTATAAAATTTATAAATTACAAACAAATAATACCTAAAATCATTGTCTAAATTTTAACACCATTGACCAAGAAAAGTCAAAATGTATCAATCTTTTTCGGTTGTTTTTAAGTATAAAAATCACTGTCATAACCAGTTTAGCAGTGGCTGGGTGAAATGGTTGAGTATATTGAAAATCAACAAAAAAAAATTGCTTATCAAAATATTTGTGTGGACTTTCAATATACTCAAAGAGCTTGGGTTGCCGTTAATTATTTTTAGATCAATCATTCAAAGACGCAAGTTTAATCATTTAAAAAATGAAAAATTGACAAAAATAATCCCACATTTCGCTGGTCTTCTCATAATAATCTCACCTTTAGGTAATCCCAGAATAATCCCACCTTTGCACCTCATCTTCTTTCATCGAACTCTGACGATGTTTTTTACTCTTTTTTTGAAAATCATATAAATAATCTTACCTTTCACTTTTCTATTATATCTTTATAAATGTGAGATTATTTATATAAGATTTTCAAAGAAAGGTAAAAAACTTGGTCAGGGTCCAATGAAAGAAGATAGGGTGCAAAGGTGGGATTATTTTGGGATTATGTAAAGGTAGGATTATTATGAGAAGATCAGTGAAAGGTGGGATTATTCTTATCAATTTTTCCTTTAAACAACTAGCAATTCGAAGAGTTTTTCTGTAACAGTTTTAAATTTTTAATGCTGCTTACTCTTTTAGGCCGGCTTCCGTTATCCGTGAAATTGTCAATGTACTTTTCTGGGATACTCAAAGTCTCAAAGTGAGGATTTTTCGAAGTGAAGAATAAGATATGAATGGGTTTCCCGTTTCAACTTTCAACTAAAAGTTGAGAATCATGATAATACGGATTTAGTTTCATCTTGAAATAATATTTTCTATGAATTGCAACAAAAAAGTAGTACTTCATAGTTCATACTACGTAGTACGTACATTATTACTTACTAGGTAAGTTGTATCATTAAGTGAATTCGGCTCATTTTATCCTGAGCTTGTACATTTAATCATTTCAAATTAAATTTTACTGTGACTAGAATGATTTCTATAATGAAATGATAACTAATAAAAAACACATATCAGAAAAGAGAAATGACTACTTTTATTTGAAGCTGAAACGACTATTTTTAAGTTTTAACCAAACTCCGTTCTATCAGGTGGGTCATTTGCATACTTAAGGGTAGAACTTGGTGACTTTGTGGCCTTCATCGCTGCCGGTAACATCCTTCTCGAGTATGTGATTGGGGGAGCAGCAGTGGCTAGATCATGGACATCTTACTTGGCCAGTCTCTGCAATAAGGAGCCCAGTTCCTTCCTCATAAAAGCTCATGGTTTGGCAGAAGGCTATGACAAGCTTGACCCCATTGCAGTTGGCGTATGCATAGCAATATGTATGGTTGCAGTGCACAGCACAAAGGGCTCCTCCCGTCTCAACTACATTGCCTCTATTGTCCATATAACCGTGATTTTATTCATCATAGTGTGTGGACTAATCAAATCCAATTACAAGAATTATACACCCTTTATGCCATTTGGTCCACGGGGGGTTTTCAAGGCAGCAGCAGTGTTGTTCTTCGCCTTTGTTGGATTTGATGCTGTTTCAACCATGGCTGAGGAAACAAAAAACCCTGCAAGAGATGTACCGATTGGGTTGGTCAGATCAGTGGTGATCACGACCTCTATTTATTGCTTGTTGGCAATCACTCTATGCATGATGCAAAAATATGACACAATTGACATAAATGCCCCATACTCGATGGCTTTCAAGAGTGTTGGGTGGTCATGGGCTCAATACATTGTTGCCTTCGGAGCTCTTAAAGGGATGACATCTGTGTTGCTGGTCGATGCAGTAGGGCAGGCACGTTACCTGACCCACATTTCACGAACTCACATGATGCCAACACCGGGACCCCCATAAATGCAACAATAACTATGATGACAGCCACTGCAGTGATAGCCTTCTTCACAAGATTGGACATTTTGGCTAACCTTCTCTCCATTTCAACCCTCTTCATTTTTATGCTCGTGGCCCTTTCTCTTCTTGTGCGCCGTTACTATGCCACTGGGGTGACAGCACCCCGAGACCGCAACAGGTTTGTTTTCCTTGTCTCACTCATCCTTGCATCTTCGGTTGGTACATCAGCGTATTGGAGTTTAAGCAAGGATGGGTGGATCTGTTATTGTTTAACGACCTCAGTGTGGTTCTTGGCAACTGCTGGCCTTTACTTCTTTGTTCCCCAAGCACGTGAACCAAAGTTATGGGGAGTTCCTCTGGTGCCATGGCTTCCCTCTGCATCCATTGCCATCAACATCTTCCTCCTCGGCTCAATTGATAGACAATCGTACCAGAGGTTTGCAGTTTGGACTGTTTTTCTTCTGATTTACTATGCCTTTTTTGGCCTTCATGCATCTTATGACAATGCAAAGGAGATGGAAAGGAATCAAGAGTCTGGGATGATCGAGGAAGGAGATGTACCACCTTCAGCTACAATGTCTAGTTCTGGAGCTCCAAGTCCCACTTGAAATTAGCAAATGGTACAAATATTCAAGAAACCAATGTTGAGATGAATACAGCTAGCAGGAAACAGATTCTTATTACAATTGAAACTTGAGTCTCACTGGAATATGATTTTTAATAAAGATAAAAATATACTCTAATTAAAGACAAAATAAGAACTGCAAATTAAAACCAAAGAATTCAAATCAACATTTACAAAGATCATAAAACTGTTCTAACCGCCAGACAGTTACAATCCTGAAAAATTAGATGTATAACAAATGAAACTAAACTTTTCAACCAAACCTATTTACTCACAGAATCCATGATGTGCGTTACTCTGGTGTTTAGTAATTTGCAGTTTAATGTTAAACCGAAAATCCGGGTCAAGAGAATAGGAAACCAAAAAAGGATTTTAAATAAAAGACCCAATCAAAACAGAGAATGCCATTCAGGGCTACATTAGTGTACAACATTTTGCGTATGATTCTATGTCTCTAATTCTCTATCTTCAGAAGGGAGTTGAGGGATGTACTGTTAAAGCGCTGTGCAAGGCCACGGATAACAAGTACAATTATATCACGCAGGTGACGTGTCTGCACTAACAAGTCCGCTTCATGTTCACCGTCGACCACAATCCTGAAACGATGTTGATCATTTCGAAATAGCTCTACCTGCACACAATCGGATTTTTGTCTGCCATCAGATTGTATTCATTTAGTTAATCCAAAGTAAAGAGCCACAACCAGGAGAGATTGTCATCAGGAAAGGCCTAGTTATACCAAAACCACTACATGGCGCAAATTCATAGACATTTAATGGAAGTAAATTTAACTGAGATTAAGACTTCGTTGAATTGAGTTTAGCAATACATTCAATCTCAAGGGAGAGAGCTATAACGGGTTGGGGTGGTCCGAAACCAGGAGAGAAGTGAGAAGGCAATTATCTTCTTCATCACCATGGCTCCCAAACTAAGCCATACCCTTGTTCCTATAATTTGTATTCTAACTGAAAAAATCGCATGTATTGTTTCTATTTCAATTACTCTGAATTTATTTGCTATAATTTCGTAAGGGTCAGGGGGACTTTTCAGAACGGATTGTGCTTGACTGCTTGTGTTGATTAACTTACACGGAATGGAGGAGCATAAGTTCCTCGAACTTCAGTTGTGGGAAAGGAGGTTTTAGAACCAGGCTTCACAACCTTAACCCTCTTTCTGTTAACCTCCAAAATTCTTCTCTCAAGGCTTCCTACTCCAGGAACCTGCAATGCATATTTAAATGTATACATATTTGTTTGTGTTTCTGATCACTATGCCCAAAAATATACAAAATGGGGTTATACTTGTACCTTCTTAGAAGATCTATCCTTGTCACACAAGGCCTACAATTACAGAGCAACATAAAATCATGAGTTAGTTCAGTGCAGTCAATCAGTTTCATTAATCACATCATGCTAGATATGACCTTTGGTTTGAAGACTGAACATCTGTTCAATTTTACAACACAAGTTTGGTCACGTTGGTGGAGGAAGGCATCATCATTTTCATTTCTTTAATAGAATAGAAAGGGGCATGCACGTGAAAAATATTGGAATTGCTTGGAAAATAAACCAAAGCAAATGTTGCTAAAAGACAAACAGAAGTCTGGTTCTGAAATCATCAAAGACCTAGTATGAGAGATTTCTTCCACTCTAGATTGTTCAAGGATTCCTGAACCTTCTATGAAAGTTGGATAACTCTCACTTTGGAGTCGAAATCTGATTCTGCCCCTGGCTCATGCGACAAAGTGGCTTTTTATTGACCAGAAGTAAAAGAGGAAAATTAAAACAAGGTGTGATTCTTTTGAAAGGGAATTAGGTTGAAGTGCAAGAATAAGATTTAAGTTTTCATGGCATCAAGTCAATTTGCAAGTGAAAGTTAGGTCTGAGGTTCAAAACTAAGTCCAAGATCAACTTAAGTTTTGACTTCAATGTTCAAGCTCAATTCATCTCAAGAAAAAGTCAAGGCGAGTCATTTTGGGGTTATTATGTTGAATACTACATTTATATCAGGCTTGCCTACGACTTTACCAGAACTAGGACATAACCTGAGCACACAGTACAAAGTGTTTGTTTGCTTATCACCTAATAATACTTCAAATGAAGTCGTCTGCGATTTATTAAGTAGTAGAGAAACACAAAAGTTCAGTAAAAGTAAATTCCATCCAGAGTAGCACCTCAAACTTCACTGATCCAATTTCAAGTTTCTGCTTCACTTCTTTAAGAACATCAGGCTCTGCCAAACAATGTTAACATTAGAAGTTGAGTAAGATGTGTTTTTTGTATGGTGGAACCTCTAAAAAATCAAGCGATCAAACAAAAAAGCAAACACTGCCATAACTCAACAAAATGATGGCCTGATGGGAAGATTCTAAAAGAAGACCCAAAAAATTATGTACCTATAAACTGCTTATTCTTGTTGGAATCTGAGATCAACCAATACACAGCATTTAAACTTTAGACAGTTTAAAAGGACTATTCATTATAACAAATGGAACCTGGTAACCAAGTTAATATTTCAAGTGCCATAAAGTTCTAAAATAAATAAAATGGGGCCAGAACAAAACATAGGATCTCCAAGGGGCAAAATGAACCTAGATGTGATGTACACGATTATATATTACTTGGTTACCTAGAACAGACATGAAAGATAGCAAACTTAACTACCAAATGGACTTATCTTACAGTGTGCCCATGGATGCTCATATATATACTACTCGGTTGGTTGGAACAGACATGTTAAATCAATAATAAGTTATCTGCTCCTCTAGCAAATTGGATATCAAGTTTACTATTTTGTGGCCAAATCGGATGAATCTTATGAAGTGATGATAATCATGTCCTTCCTTTCATTCACTAAACGAACACCTCTCAATCAAAACACTACGAATCTTATGAAGTGATAATAAGGAAATCCAATGCATATTACAGTAGCAGTAGTGATGGTTGTGATAAACTGGTGAAACAATAACGCCAATTTACCTACTGCAATTGGATCCGTTGATGCAGAAACGGGCTGTCCCTCAACTCCGTCATCTCTTAAAGGGGTATAAATGACCACCAGCCTATATCCCACATCATCAACATTAGCTTCATACATCCTTCCTGACTCCCCTGCGAACATAAAGTGGGGAAATGAAAGAACTTCAGCATCTTGATTCGTGAAATCAGTCTTATTGCATTGATGAAAGAATATGCAAAGCAAAAGTGAACAAATACAGTTATGCTCATTACCTTATATCTCTAAAAGTTAATTTAACTAGCTAAGTGGAAAAGGATATAATGATGATGTATATGGTATACCAAGTTTGCACACCCTCACCGGTTTAAAAAGTATCAACACTTGTCCAGATTTAGGCAGCTCATGTCAAACTAACATGATAAGATGACTGCACAGTTTTCTCACATTCTGAAGTGTGATCTCAACAGTATCATAATCTTAAAAAAGATTATTTGAAGTAGGTAGTAGGGACTGGTGCATCTCAATGAATTAAAACCAAAATGAAGTAGATATTAAGTGGAGGAACTAATATTTAATATTTCACTATACCTGGAATAGAAATGAGATCGGGACTTCCAACCATTGACCTAAGCCACTGAATTTTACTTTTACCCTCCTTTCCACCACTATAAATACCACGAACTGCAAACAAATTAGTGTGAAATCCTCTTCCCTCAATCTCTAGCTTTTCAATTTTAGGCATGCCTGAAAATAAGCATACTTTTATTAGGTTATAGTCATACCAACAAAAATGATAAAGCTAACAAGAGCTATGAGGGGAAATAATTTGGGATCAAATTTTATAGGTAATGTGTGATAGTGAGTTTAGCAAGAACAAAACTCTGCCCCAAAGAAAGGGGAAAGATTAAAAAGAAGTTCGGTTGAGCAAGCAAAAAGAAGAGATGTCTACTTGAAAAGGAGACACAATGACACAATACGGATACTTTTTAACACTTGAACCCCCAAACAGAGAAATTTCTCCCTGTTTAAACCTCAGATAATAATTTTTTAAGAGCAGCACACTAGACCAACCAGAAAAAAAAGTAATATTTAA